TATAGAAATAATATTTAGGTGTTAATAAAGAAACACCTAAATATTGAGTTTATTTTGTATGAATCAGCTAGGTAAAGATAGAGATTAATGATAGCTTATATATAGATATATTAAATTATTCAAAATCAGAATTAAAGATTAAACCGATTTAAGAGAAAAATAAATATATAAATAATTCTTTCAAATTAGACTTTATTTTAAGAAATTGTTTATATTAGATATTAATTGGTGCTAAGAAGAATTAAAAAAGCTATTGAATAATGTGAAAAATAATCACTAAAGAACCACAATACCTCGATGCTTTTTATTAAAATGGTAATCATTCATATTGAAAAAAAAGTTTTTCTTTTAATTTTCATATTCAAGCTTTGAATTAATATGAATAAGCCATATAGTGCTTTGATAAAGCACTCTAATTCACTCCAAAATTTTTTATTGCATATTACTAAAAAGCTAACTAAATTTTTTCATTTTAAGGTTATACGCTACACAAAAAAAGTAACCATAAAGATGCAATTATTTGTTATGATAATGCAATTCAATTGGAACCTATATATCATTATAAAAGGATATCAGTTCGGATAAAGAAGATGATTGATTCATAATATTCATGAGCATATATGAACTAAGGCAATGTTTCATAAACTAAAAAGGTGATTTATTATGAAATATCAATAAAATACAATTATATTAAAGATGAAAAAGTATCAATAACTATTGAAAAGTATGAGCATGCAATCAATAAATCTTAATTGGATTAGAATGAATTTAAAAGATTAATTTTGGAAAGCAAAAATAAGATTTGAAATATTTTTTCATATTAGTTTAAACAATTTTGATTTATGTTATATAACCATATTTAGAGTTGATTATTTCTTTACAAATGAAAATAAGGGCAAATAGAATAGATGTCTATAGAAGGATTTAACTTAAAATATTGTTGTTAAATTGTATCAGTAATGTTGTTATTAAAGTGATTATATCATTTTTATTTTTAGAAGCTATTTTTAAAGATATAATTGTTTAACATTTATATTAAATGAATAAAATAATTCTTGATATCATTATTTTTTATAACCACGACTATCACCTTTAGAAATACAGGAATTAATTATGTAACTTAATTATTATGCAAAAGTAATCATATATTAAATACTAGAACAATTCTCAACAACATATTAATTAATTTTATTGCAATATTAAATATTCATTTATAAATTAGTCTATTATTTAAAAAAATTATTTATTGTTCCAATTACTAGTTTAAAATTGTAAATAAATAATATCTAAATTATTAATTTATTGAGTGATTATATAAGAATTTTTCTATAGTAAGGTTGATTATAACAATTGAAACGTTTTATAAATCAAGCAGTCGTGTTTGCAATTACTTCAAATTTACCATTATTTTAATAGAATTAGTTACATTCTAAATATTTGTAAAAGAATCTTATCAATTTTCAAAAGATAGGTTATAATTCAAATCTAATCGATAGATCACTTCTTTAGATACTCGTATATGGGATGGAACTATGAACACATGAAATTAATATTTTTAGATTTCGTAGGAGCTATTCATTTTGCATGGAAAAAATAATTAATCTTTCTGCAGAAAAAGATAACCACCTTTTAAAAATTATAACAAATAATCAAGTCAGAATTTTTTTATGAACTTAAACAAACTAAAAATCATTAATATAAAACTTAAAAGAAAATTGAATGCTGGGACATAAATTTGAGAAAATAATTTTGTATATATTGATATTAAAAAAATTGAAACAAAAAGAAAAACTAAACAATCCAATTTGAAATAATTATCTTAACATGTTGATCTCTTGAAAACTCAATCTTCAATTTCTAAAGGGATGGCTTCCCAAAAGAGATTTCAAATTGGTTTCGAAAACAAAAACTTTCACTTTATATTCCTTACCTTAATTTAATACTAGAAACATTTGATTCTTGAGTACCATTCTAACTTCCAACTGATAGTTCACATACCACTAGACAAAATAAAAATGATGATGAATGAGTGAAGTTAGCAAATAATTCTGAAAATATTTATTTTATACTTATAACTGATATTTTAGGTTCTTATACCCTTTATTAACTAAAATAGATTTATAAATAGTGTCAATAAACTAGAATTATAAGTCCATAAAACTAAAAATAATGACTGAATATATTCAACTAATCTCATAAGCATATTCGATTTTTAAGGAAGAATGTTATTTCTGATTTAAGAAAAAAAATAATCATTAAAAATATTGAAATAGTATCAAATGTAGATTATATTTTAATAGATTGCATTGATCTAAGAATGAAGAAATAAGATGCTTATTCTAAATTAAATTATACTATAATTATCTTTTGAAATTTCATCATAAGTTTTGAGTAGGTTGCCAATTAAAATGGGTTTATTAGTACTCTTAGTTTTATAAGATGAAATAAACCAATAATCTATTATTAAAAGTCCTAACAGAATAAAACAGAAAGGACCGATAAAAATTATAGCTAAATTATATAGCATAGTCAAATAGATTAATAGATGTTCTTTAACCGATGAGAAGGATTGGGTATACTATAAAAATAAGTATGTATCGAGAATACATGTATTTATTCAAGTCTTTAATAAATAAAGTACAAAGGTGATTAAAAAAATGTAAAAAACTTGGTAGATGTGATAATTATTTTTTTTAATTTAAAATGTAAAAATGATAAAATATTATCGAAAAGTTTAATTGTGGCGGATCATATGATGCAGGTGATGAATTAAAATTTGGCTATTGGGTGGAAATTTTGGATAATTTCGAGAAGAGTTAATAAATAATTTAAGATGGTGAATATGGCAATGGGAAAAAAGTTGAAAGATGGGATATTTTGCATTTGGGACAGATATTTTAATTTTGTTAAACACATCAAAATTATAAATTATTTAAGTAAGTTATGGTATAGCTCTTATGCATTTAATTTTGAATATCCCTCATTATGGAAAGCCAAATATTCATCTAGATATCAAATACATTATGGGTCTTTCTTCTATATGTATTGTATATTTTGCAATTTAATCCAATTTTTATTCTTTTTTTCATCAATTTTTTATCTTCCTCTATATATTTAATACTCCTCCCGATCATCAATTTTTATTTCAACAAATATTTCGTTTGGGATTTTTTTTACAATTCTCTATTGACTAAAGTATATATGATAGTTTGAAAATGTGGCATTAAATTTAAGTCATTATAATTTTACTCTGCCATCTAATTTTTACTTAAAAAGTTATCTTTATTATCAATAAAAAAATTGATCTAAGTTCTGAATAATCTATTTTATACTCACCGTTTACAAATCATATTTTGTATTAATTTAAAGGGTTTCATTTATTATATTTATTTTTATTCTAAATGTTAAACTCAAATATTATTTAATTATTAACTGTGAACTCAAATGATAATGGTTTATTTTTCTGATCATTTATATATGTGTAACAACCAGTATTTATAGATATTTTAGCTGTATATAATCTTTATTATTAATTATAGATTTTGGAGTGTTTAAAATATATAGAAAATGAGTGATTACAGAGAATTATTAGTTATCGACAATAATTCATAATGATTAAAATCTGAAGTAGTTATTTAAAAGATTGTAATAAAAAGTGGAGAATTAGTTAATTTATGTATATTTAAAAGTTGAATTCAGCTAAATGAATGAATAGATTTAAGGAGTAATAAGAATATCAATAAAATAATATGATCTTAATTAATTGTTTGTTTAGAATATAATTTAATTTTATATTTCTAACTTTTGCATTGTTAAAAAGTTTTTCATAATCTGAAATGCTCTCTCTTTTTTCAATAAATAATTAACTCCTT